AACAGCTAGTCATTGCAGAATTTTTTAATTTGTGTCCTGATGTGTGATTTTTTGTTCAAAGAAGCCATCTTTTTTTCCTTTACATTTTGCCATTGGACTTGTATTCCGGTTTCGATGTGCTGTTTCATTATATCTTTATGAATTCCTTCCCCTCCAGGGCGCAGGCGCGCGCCCTCCGTCTCTAACGTGCAGCGCCTGAGCCAAATGGCCCAGGCCCCAGAGGACCGCTTTTCTACCCAGGTCAAGCAAGTTAGCTACAAAGGGCCTGTCTTGGGTCTGTGGCCAGACCCCACACAAGATTACCTTCCATCCCGAGGGCCATTGTTGCCCCGTGCCATCTCCATGCCCAGACAGAGCCCGGGCACTGCAAGAAGATTTGTTCTATGGTCTCTGGGATATTCTGGGCGGGAAAACCACCACTGCAGCGCTTGCACCATGGTGAAGCCAGGCCACGCTGCTCCAGAGATGTTCTATCAGTTAACCAATCGTTTGTCGAAAGGCAGCGGTGATATATTCGCCACTGCAGCAAGGCTACTTTGGCCGGCTTCGCCCCGCAGCGAGGCTAATTTGGCCGGTTTCGCCCCGGTTCCGGAGAACCATTTGAACGATCTCTGGTCGTCCCTCCCTACCTTAAGGTGGCGCATCCATCTGTGAATCAACTTTTCTTTTAAATCTACTAGAGGACACAACATTCTGTGGAGAGACTTAACCTGTATTCAATGGAGGTGGAGAGTGACCGTTCTGCCCTCACAGCTGAGGGGCGTCCATGCCCACATTTCTGGATCGAAGGGGAGTTTTCCCAGGGGGGGTTCCAGGTGGAATGCCACCCTGTGTTCCCGGTCCCGGAGCACCCTGATCCTAAAAGCCCCTGACCTGTGCACCCACCTGACCTCGTCCAAAGAGGTCCTGACGAGTCTGTTGCAGTTTTGTATTAGGGTTTAGGGTTGATTAAGGCGTTGCCATTAGGGTGGCTATCGATCACGCTACTGGCCCTGCCCGGCTCTCCTCTAAGGGCCACCCACAAAGGGCCCTTCCTGCAAGGTAGGGCCCTTTTTTATGATTTGTACCCAGTTGAGCAGGATCAAAAATATCAGGGTGTCCAAGGCCTCCCCCAGGTTTTGACAATGGTTGACCCTTTCCCTGAGGTTCTCCGTGGTGATCCAATTCCCCCTGCTGCTCTGGTCCCAAATAATATCTCAGGGCCTCATGACCACTTGGTTAACCCAACCCTTCCATGGATGGTCCGTACTCATAAACACTCTGCTGTGGGAGTCAGTAATACATCTATTCCCAAAGAGGGGCTGTGTAATGACCCGTCATCACACGGACTGTAACAGACAGCTGATTTCTGAGTTTGCTCATGGAATGCATGCCGTACTAAGTCCCCTGCCTGTTGAGTGGGTTGTGTTGGGTCTGAGTGCGTGCCTGTATGTGGTTGGCGTGCCTGGGTGATGAATGCGTGCCTGACTGAGTGCTTGAGTGTGTGTGTGACCCCGTCGGGGCCTGTCTCTTATACACATCTAGATGTGTATAAGAGACAGGTGCGGGAGGTTTCAGGGTCTGCAATGATGTTTCCCTCCGAAAGCGGAGGCACACCGGTTGCTTGGGAGGCCGAGCGGCCTGGAAGTCACCGCCCAAGAGGCAACCAGGCCGCTATATCAGTGGGCGGAGCAAGGAGCTCCGCCTCATTTGTCGGTCCAGCGGTTGGAGGTCGGCATTTGGAGCGGCGCCCAGAGCAGCGCTAGGCAAGCTGCGCTAGAGAGAGGCAGCGGAGCAGCGCTGGTGGGAGGAAGAAGAAGGACAGCGGAGGAGGAAGAAGAAGAAGAAGGAGGAAGAAGAAGAAGAAGGAGGAAGAAGAAGAAGAAGGAGGAAGAAGAAGAAGAAGGAGGAAGAAGAAGAAGAAGGAGGAAGAAGAAGAAGGAAGAAGAAGAAGGAGGAGGGAGAAGGAGCCGGGGTACCTACCTGGCTATGGTGGCAGCCATCTTCATCTTGGTCAAGCGCAGCAGCAAGAAGACCCCTCCGAGGGAGGGGAGCCATACCGAGTAACTTCAAGGTGGTTCGGAGCATGGTGGTGTGTGCGGGACAGCCATAGCTGTTCTGTGTTGTCCTCTGGACATCACGGTGGCCTGCAGTAGTCCGCCATAGCCTCGGCCTCCAAGGAAGAAGAAGGGAGAGGCGGCCATGGCTATGGAGGACCTCAATAGTAGTCAGCTGTAGAAGAGGACCTTGGACTTTGATTCTGGATCAGCTGGTCAGCATTGTTGCAATAATTCTTGTTTGAATATAAGAGAGGGGGACATATGGAGTTGAGAAGTTGAGCGAAGGAGAAGTGCTTTGACATTGGTTCTTTGCTGGTGTACTTCATCTTCTTCCTTCTTACTACTACTTCTTCTTCTTCTTATCCTCTCAATCCTCTCAAGTTCATTCATTTCTTTTGCAATTGGGCAGCATTGTGCTTTATTGGTGAATTTGTACTTCGCAATTGGTCCGGGTCATAACAGCTGTCTGAAGACCACTTGCGCCCTTGAGGGAGGGACCCTACGTGGGAGGGGGAGTTTTCGCTAGGTTCTCAACAGGGTGAGCCAAAACGGGTCCTTTGGAATGTCACTCCAGGCGGCCTGTCTGTTCTTATTGTTAAACTTTGTGGCCCTGCGAGGGATCGGCCGATACCCGTCCTCGAGCCATAGACACAGGTCGATGCCTGGGGGACCCGGGGTGGTTGGCTCCAGCGCCAGTGCTCTCCAAGGTAGATGCGTTGTGAAGAGCAGGCTCTTGATCCATTACATGGATAGCGTCAGCAGCTGGGAGGAAGAATCTATGATTCCCAGTCCACCCCTCAACTTCGGTCTGTTCTTATTGTTAAACTTGGTGGCCCTGCGAGGGATCGGCCGATACCCGTCCTCGAGCCATAGACACAGGTCGAAGCCTGGGGGACCCGGGGTGGTTGGCTCCAGCGCCAGTGCTCTCCAAGGTAGATGCGTTGTGAAGAGCAGGCTCTTGATCCATTACATGGATAGCGCCAGCAGCTGGGAGGAAGAGTCTATGATCCCCAGTCCACCCCTTGACTTCGGTTTGATCACGGACGCCCAGGCCACCCTAATCGGGAATAGATGGATTACCGACTATGACCGCATGTTGCTGCTCGTAATTGCCCCTCCACAGGAACGCTGCTACTTGGGCGATGGAGCGAGCGAAGGGTTTGCTTGCTCACCACCCATATGACCCATCTGTACCAGA